GAGTTTACCAAGCCAGTAACAAATGTGAACTCCTGGATCATCATACCAGTTTTACCATGGTGTCACAGACAGTTCCCTTAGACTCTCCAGTCTATCTTGCCACTCAGACAAGCTGGACTTTGTGATAAAAGGTCACTTAAACCAAAAATCGCACCACATCAGGATGCGCCCAGTCCCAAGAGGCCAGTCACTTATCCCAGATCAATTGATACTCTAGATCTTATATCAAAGACAGTGCTGGTAGCCAATTCTATAGTAAACTAACTAAAGGTTTATTCACTAAGAAAAGGAATTGCGAGTTTAAGCAGGTAAAATAAATGTACAGGTGAGTCATAGTTTGTAATTCCAAATGGTGGCAGTGATGTAATAAACTGCCAATTTCCCAAAAGTCTTTTCAGGGTACCCAGATTGTCTCTGGGAATCTTGGCTTTGCATCTGGTACCCTTCCCTGTAAGAGTCCAAAAAGTTCAGAGATGGAAGCTCTTTCCTTGAATCCATCTACGGAAAACAAGCTGACCGTGTCACTACCTGTGTGGGCTTTTCCTTTGATGACAGAGACCAGGGCATGCATTTTGATTCTTTGACCTCTGATCATCCCACAATGATCTCTTCCTTTAAAATTAACACTTTTCTGTTTAAAGTTCTTCATTTGCATTCCACAAGGCTTCTTTCTCCTTTGATGGGTTAGTTGTTACAGGGGTATATATAATATAAATGTTTGCTATTACATTATAATAGAATAGAGATAAGTGAAAATAATGAAAGTAACATCCCATTAGTTTTTGTGAAGTTTAAACACCAAATTCACTCTGATACATTTAATACTCATTTTGATCTAGACTAATACACAAGTGAATTGTGGGGCTCTAGCATGGTCTCACCTGTTCTGCCAGCGTCACAATGGGCATAAACCTACAAGTGGGGAGAGAGAGAGAGGAGGTACAAGGGTGTAACAGTAACTGTTTCTCAATAAAACTTTTGAAGATCTTTATGCATTAACTTTTCTTCCTGTTTCTTTTTTCCTCTCCCATACCCCTCTCGTTCTCCACAGAAGCATTCTAGTAGGTTAGATGACAGAAGTGAGTTTGTAGAGAGATTTGAATGGGGTGAGGGTAGGAGGCTTGGTGAAAAAGGCTTGGGACGGGTGTTCCATGCTTAGTGGCAGCATGGAATAAGGCTCAGAGGCAGGAGTTATGGAAAGGAACAAAGGGGGCACATCATCTTCTTAGTCTTTAAATTAGGTGTAGCAGATACCATGTTTTCACTGAAGTATTTTTGGAATTTTTTATACCCAAGCAAAACCTACTCGATAAAAGCTTGTTTATGATGATACCCACCTCATAACCTTAAAAAATACCTATTTAGGTTGTCTGTTCCCTTTTGCAATAGCAAGTAATTCCAGGGCATGTACTAATGAGCCATTGGTGCACTTATTGGTTGGTTAAAGTCATTCTGTCTTTGGCCTCCTGCATCCCAATGCACCTGAGGCACGCACTAATGGCCCATTAATGCACACCCTGTTGTGTCTTATTGCTTAATTGCATTGTCGTTTATTTGCAACATTTTTGCTACTGTGTGTAAAATTAATGTTAACTTTTTGAAGGGAAAATATGTTACATAGAATTAGATAACATTAATAAAGAGAGATCCAGAGTTAAAAAACAACACACAAACTTTTATTAAAATGGAATTTCAAGCATATGAAAATGTCTTTCAAGAAATGATCAAAAATTGTGTGAATAGTTTCATATCCTTTTATAAGCAAAATGATTATCTGACATCATATAATTTTTTGTTAGATGGACAGTATAAAGATGAAGATTTTACAGATAACATTGAACTTCACAGCTGACTGAAGCAGGTGTTAGAAATGCAAATGAACTGTATTGACTAAAAACTATACAAATTTGAAGTGAAAATGCCACTGGTCTGCTTACAGAGCTCTTCATATGCGAAGTTTCTGATAGATAAATTATTAATTTTATTGTGTGAGATAGTTCAGCAGTTAGGGGAAAGGTGCCTTTTGCGTTTAAACTGTTTCCCCCCTGTTCCTTTATCAGCATTTGACAATAAGCAAGCAGAATTTACTTCATTTTGTTAGTTTAATTCCACCAAATGAATAGATATCACAGCTCTCTCTCTCTCTATATATATATGTATATTACAGATGTATACACCGTGTATATGCTTATGCAAAATTGGCATGTTATATAAATGTACAGCATGACTATACATTGTGTGTATAAAATCTATATAGACAAAGGTGTCTAAATATTAGTTGACTTGCTGTACAAATCAACAAAACTGAGAAATTTAGTTAATGAGGATATTTGATCCTTCATTAAAATTTTTGTGAAAGAGGCACAAGTTGGTGAGCTAGATTTAGTGTCCTGGATTGTGTCACTTTTCATCAACTATCATGGTATTTCCTAGGTATATTTATTTTCCCCCATTTTTAAAGGAAAGCCATCTTTGTTTGAAGTAGAGCTGGGTGAATAATTGATTTTTCAGTTTGCTGTCTGCTCCAAAAAATAGACAAAAATTTTGGTTTGACCCAAACAAACATGAAAATTCCAAAACAATTAGATGAACACAAAGACGACAAAAACATTTTGTTCCACCAAAAATGAACTTTTATTTTTGGGCCATTTTTAACAAAAAAGGAAATCAAGGGCCAGAGGATGAATGGGTGGTGCTACCTTCTTTAAAAGTGTTAGCCCAGTGATTAGGTTACTCACCTGGGATGTGGGGGAAGACAAGTTCAGTTTCCCTTCTGCCTATGTCTACACTATGAAATTAGGTCAAATTTATAGAAGTCGATTTTTAGGAAGCGATTTTATACAGTCGATTGTGTGTGTCCCCACTAAGCGCATTAAGTCGGTGGAGTGCATCCACAGTACTGTGGCTAGCGTCAACTTTTGGAGCATTGCACTGTGAGTAGCTATCCCACAGTTCCCGCAGTCTCCGCTGCCCATTGGAATTCTGGGTTAAGCTCCCAATGCCTGATGGGGGCAAAAACATTGTCGTGGGTGGTTTTGGGTACATGTCGTCAGTTGCCCCTCCCTCCATGAAAGCAACAGCAGACAATCGTTTCATGCCTTTTTTCTGTGTGGACGCCATACTGCTTTCAGCAGACGGTGCAGTGGGACTGCTAACCGTCGTCATCGAACCACTGCTTCTTCTGCAACTCTGCTCTCCTGTTCTTGTCTCGATAGTGAATTTCTCCATGTTGGCTGTCATGTGCTCCTGCCTCCGCTGCAACTCTGCTCTCATGAATCCACCTCGCAGGTCGCCAGCCACCGCTTCTGCTGCAACTCTACTTTCGTGCTCTCCTACAGATGCCATACCACAGCAAGTGTGCAGCCCGCTCAGCTCACCAACACCATCGCTGTTGTGTCCTGGTGCTGCTGGCAGCAGACGGTGCAGTAGGCCTGCTAACTGTCGTCATCTACCGCTTCTGCTGCAACTCTGCTCTTCTGCAGACACCATACCATGGCAAGCATTGAGCCCGCTCAGATCATCACGGCAATTATGAGCACTGTAAACACCTCACGCATTATCCTGCAGTATGTGCAGAACCAGAACCTGCAAAAGCAGGCGAGGAGGCAACGGCAGGGTGGTGACAAGAGTGATGAGGTCATGGACACAGACTTCTCTCAAAGTACGGACCCCAGCAATTTTGGCCATCCTGGTGGCAATGGGGCAGGCTTATGGAGTGGAACACTGATTCTGGGCCTGGAAAACAAGCACAGACTGGTGGGACTGCATAGTGTTGCAGGTCTGGGATGATTCCCAGTGGCTGCGAAACTTTCGCGTGCGTAAGGGCACTTTCATGGAACTTTGTGACTTGCTTTCCCCTGCCCTGAAGCGTAAGAATACCAAGATGAGAGCAGCCCTCACAGTTCACAAGCGAGTGGCAATAGCCCTGTGGAAGCTTGCAACGCCAGACAGCTACCGGTCAGTCGGGAATCAATTTGGAGTGGGCAAATCTACCGTGGGGGCTGTTGTGATGCAAGTAGCCAGCGCAATCACTGAGCTGCTGCTATCAAGGGTAGTGACTCTGGGAAACGTGCAGGTCATAGTGGATGGCTTTGCTGCAATGGGATTCCCTAACTGTGGTGGGGCGATAGATGGAACGCATATCCCTATCTTGGGACTGGACCACCTTGGCAGGCAGTACATAAACCGAAAGGGGTACTTTTCAATGGTGCTGCAAACACCGGTGGATCACAAGGGACATTTCATCAACATCAACATGGGATGGCTGGGAAAGGTGCATGATGCTTGCATCTTCTGGAACTCTGGTCTGTTTAAATGGCTGCAGGAAGGGACTTACTTTCCAGACCAGAAAATAACCACTGGGGATGTTGAAATGCCTATATGTATCCTTGGGGACCCAGCCTACCCCTTAATGCCATGGCTCACAAAGCCATACGCAGGCAGCCTGGACAGTAGTCAGGAGCTGTTCAACTATAGGCTGAGCAAGTGCAGAATGGTGGTAGAATGTGCATTTGGACATTTAAAAGCGCGCTGGTGCAGTTTACTGACTTGGTTAGACCTCAGCAAAACCAATATTCCCATTGTTATTACTGCTTGCTGTGTGCTCCACAATCTCTGTGAGAGTAAGGGGGAGACGTTTATGGCGGGGTGGGAGGTTGAGGCAAATCGCCTGGCCGCTGATTACACGCAGCCAGACACCAGGGCAGTTAGAAGAGCACAGCAGGGTGCGCTGTGCATCAGAGAAGCTTTGACTGGCCAGGCTACGGTGTGAGAGTTCTGTTTGTTTCTCCTTAATGAAAACCTGCCCCCTTGGTTCACTCTACTTCCCTGTAAGGCAACCACCCTCCCCCCTTCGATCATCTCTTGCAGAGGCAATAAAGTCCTTGTTGTTTCAAATTCGTGCATTCTTTATTAATTCGTCACACAAATAGGGGGATAACTCCCAAGGTAGCCCAGGAGGGGTGGGGGAAGAGGGAAGCACTGGGTGGGGTGGGGGGAGGAGGGAAGGACAAGGCCACACTGCACTTCAAAACTTATTGAATGCCAGCCTTCTGTTGCTTGGGCAGCCCTCTGGGGTGGAGTGGTTGGGTGCCCAGACCCCCTCCCCCGCGTTCTTGGGCATCTGGGTGAGGAGGCTATGGAGCTTGGGGAGGAGGGCGGGTGGTTACACAGCGGTTGCAGCAGCAGTCTGTGCTCATGTTGCCTTTCCTGCAGCTCAACCATACACCGGAGCATATCCGTTTGATCCTCCAGTAGCCTCAGCATTGTCTCCTGCCGCCTCTCATCACGCTGCCACCACCTCTCCTCTTGCTCCCGCCACCTCTCCTCACATTCATTTTCTGCTTTCCTGGACGCTGCAGTTTTCTGCCTCCATCATTCTGCTGAGCTCTTTCAGTGCGGGAGGACTGCATCAGCTCAGAGAACATTTCATCGTGAGTGCGTTTTTTTTCGCCATCTTATCTGCGTTAGCCTCTGGGACGGAGATGATGGAGGAGCGTTGAAACATTTGCAGCTGCGGGAGGAAAAAAAGGGGAGAGTAGTATTTTAAAAGACACGTTTTAGAGAACAATGGGTAGACTCTTTCACGGTGAATGGTTTCAAACAGCAGCGCCCTCCTTTCCCATTTCAGGCACCCATTGGTATGGCCATTTAAAAGGAGGGGTTGCAGTTTTTGGGTTAACATGCAGCACAAACCCAACTACCCCCCCACCCCCCCAATTTTGTGGGATGATCGCTTCACCCCGCCTCCCACCGCGTGACTAGTATCAGGGAAGATCCCTACCAGCCAAACGAGAACAGCTCAGTGTCAATGGCCCCCCCCGCCCCATCCCCCAGCTGCATGGCTAAAAGCAGGGATGATTTCTTTTCAGCCACAGGCAAACAGCTCAGCAGGAACGGCCACCTCTGAATGTTCCCTTAATAAAATTCCCCTATTTCATCCTCAGGAGAGTGATATAATTCATGGTAGACTCTCCTGAGGATAACACAATGGATGTTGTGTATCCATTATATCACTCTCCTGAGGATAACAACAATGGATGTTGTTTGAATGCTGGCAAACACCGTGACCATACACTGCCGTGCTTTGTGATGCAGTGATTCCAGACTACGTGCTACTGGCCTGGCGTGGTAAAGTGTCATACCATAGAGGACGGAATAAGGCTGCCCTCCCCAGAAGCCTTTTGCAAAGGCTTTGGGAGTACATCCAGGAGAGCTTCATTGAGATGTCCATAGAGGATTTCCATTCCATCCCCAGACACGTTAACAGATTTTTCCAGTAGCTGTACTGGCCGCGAATGCATCCCAAGTCTTCAGGGAAAATTAATCATTAAACATGCTTGCTTTTAAACCATGTATTATATTTACAAAGGTACACTCACCAGAGGTGCCTTCTCCGCCTTCAAGGTCCAGGAGCCTGCATTGGGAGAGTTGGGAGGGTATTGGATCCAGAGTGATAAACACTTCCTGGCTGTTGGGGAAAACAGTTTCATCCTCCACCTCATCATCATCTTCCTCATCCCCAAAATCCTCATCCCTGTTGCGTGAGATTCCCCCCTTGCAGGAGTCCACGTACAGGGGTGGGGTAGTGGTAGGGCCACATGCAGCTCATCACAGAAGTGACATGTCTGGGGGTCTGACCCAGAACGGCCGTTTGTCTGTTTGGTTTTTTGGTAGCCTTGCCTGAGGTCCTTAATTTTCACGCAGCACTGCTGCGGGTCCCTGTTATAGCCTCTGTCCATCATGCCCTTGGAGATTTTTTCAAATATTTTGGCATTTTGTCTTTTGGAATGGAGTTTTGATAGCACGGATTCACCTCCCCATACAGTGATGAGATCCAGTACCTCCATTTGGTCCATTCTGGAGCTATTTTGCGATTCTGGGACTGCATGGTCACTTCTGCTGATGAGCTCTGCATGGTCACGCCACGCTGGCCAAACAGGAAATGAAATTCAAAAGTTCCCGGTGCTTTTCCTGTGTACCTGGCTAGCGCATCTGAGTCGAAAGGGATAACTCAGTGGTTTGAGCATTGGCCTGCTAAACCAGGGTTGTGAGTTCAATCCTTGAGGGGGCCATTTAGGAATCTGGGCCAAAAATTGGGGATTGACCCTGCTTTGAGCAGGGGGTTGGACTAGATGACCTCCTGATATTCCGACCCTGATATTCTATGATTCTATGAAAGTGCTGTCCAGAGCGGTCACAATGGAGCACTCTGGGATAGCTCCCGGAGTCCAATATCGTCGAATTGCGTCCACACTTTACCCCAAATTTGACCCAGCAATGTCGATTTCAGCACTAATCCCCTCGTCGGGGAGGAGTACAGAAATCGATTTTAAGAGCCCTTTAAGTCGACAAAAATGGCTTCGTTGTGTGGACGGGTGCAGGGTTAAATCGATCTAACGCTGCTAAATTCAACCTAAACTCTTAGTGTAGACCAGGGCTAAGCAGGGATTTGAACTTTGTTCTTCTATGTTGCAGGAGCATGTCCTAACCAGTGGGCTCTGGGATATTCTGCTGTGGCCCCTTCTCAGTCTGTACTGTGGCAGCGGTTCCACTGTGTATAAATAATTAAATAGTCATTGGAGAAGGAATATGAACTTGTGCCTCCCACCTCTTCGGTCAGTGCCCTGACTACTAGGCTATGGAGTCATTTGCCTGCTCTCTTTCTCTGGTCCAGTGACTATTTTTAAGTATTTTTATCCAAAATGGAACAGCTTCAACAAGGCAGACTGAGAAAGACCCACTCCAGACTATCTTATAGCCCAGACAGGGGTAGTCAATAGGCAGACCGTGGGCCAAATCCAGACCGCCAGATGCTTTTGAACAGACCCTGAAATCTTTTAGTTTACTTATTATCATCATTATTGGGGGATGGGGGGTGGTGTTATTTTTTCTGGAGTTTAGACCTTGACCAAGAAATTTGGACCTTGACAAAAAAGAATTGACTATCGATGGGAGAGGTTTGGGCACTCTTCTGCAATGGGTGAAACCTAAGTACAGATCCTGCACTCTAATTGTGCTTTTTTGAAAATGTAACAAGTGGGCAATGGAGGCTGACATCATGGGCTAATCAAAGGCAGGGGCTGACCTTCTCATATGGATTGAGAGATGAACCAGGTGGGGCATTGACCAGAACAGATTACAAGGAAGAATGACCTGAACTGGCCGAGTATTACCGGATAGTTCCCTGATGTGTTACTTAATAAAGTTGCAGCCTAATTTAAACCACATTCCTGATGTCTTGCCTTCCTTCCTGCAGTGTGCAAGATGATTGTCTTGGCAGGAATTGAACTCTGACTGAGAAGTGGTCTTTCAGGTAGTTCAGAAACAGCCCAGTTAAGATCAGGACTTTGAATTTGGTGAGAAAGCGGTAGCAGTGTCAAGGGAAATGGGAGTGTGATTTCAGGAATTAGTGCTGCTGAGCTGATGTGCTGCTGAACTCTGAACCAGACGGAGGTTTTTGTGCATTAATCAAACCTTTCCTTTGTGTCATAATCTTTCCGGATCCTCCGTTTCTTGGGACAGCCAGAGGTGGGCAAAGGCATTTTTGTTGGCAGCAGCTATCTGAGTATCCAGTAAATAATGAGGAGGCCTCCAAGCTCCATGCTCTTTAGAAGCTCTCAATATGAGTTGGTATAGTGTGCCTTGAAATATTTTCTTTTCCCCCTGAAAAATACTTTCTGACATGGATGAAGTTTTAATTAGCTTTATTTTATTCAGACAGTGATCTTACTTAGACTCATGGGCAGCTTTAGGATGGTGCCATCTGTACTGGAAGTAAAGGAGATATAGAGCTAGTGTGTTCTGCATACTGTTGGCATTAGTTTCTGCTGTCTGACTTTCTTTCCCAATGGCTATACACAGCTACTATATAACCAAGTTCGGGGATGAAGTCTTGCAGATCTTGATAGGTGAGTGCCCTAAATGCAGAGGTGCAGCTGCCTATAGTGACCCTTGGAGATCAGTCAAAAAGGAAGGATCTCTGCCTGCTCAGCACACTTCTGTGGACCCTGTCTAGCTCACTGTGACATATCAGCTGTGTTTCATGATTAATTGTTTTGAAAACAGCTGAGAGAGTGAGAAGGACAAGTATGGATACTTTCCTGTTCTGTGGCAAAAAGGAGTTTGTCTGCTAGTACAACAGGCACAATCTCTGTGCCATAACCAGGTCTAAAATTTTGTTGGGAAGCGTGAAAGATGTTGACAGAGGTCAGCGGAATTTGGAAACTGTTCCTTGTTGGCTTTTCAGTTACCTTGCTCAGGAGTGGGAGATACTATGTAACATGATAGTTGAAGTCAACTGCATGCAACAGTGTATTCTTTGTGCACTGGCCATGCTATTACATGTTTTTTAAATTCATGGAAGATAGGTCCATCAATGGCTATTAGCCAGGATGGGAAGGGACGGTGTCCTTAGCTTCTGTTTGCCAGAAGCTGGGAATGAGTGACAGGGGATGGATCACTTGATGATTACCTGTTCATTCCCTCTGGGGCAGCTGGCATTGCACACTGTCGGAAGACCGGATACTGGGCTAGAAGGACCTTTGATCTGACCCAGTATTTCCGTTCTTGTGTTCTTATGTTATTGGTGCACTACATTCTTCAAAGGATACACTATTTTTTTACTAGCAGAAGGTCCAGAGGACTATGGCTACCATTTTTTTTAGCTATGGAAGCCAAGGGTTAAAGTCTAGGCCATTCCCTTGAAAATTCTGTGCATCCATGTATCCTATGTGCACTCCTGGATGCACATGTATATGGAGATCTGAGCCCATTAGCACAATTCTGGCTTATTTTACCCATCATGCAAAAATAAAACCGACGTCATATAACACAGCCTTTCAAACAGATTTTGATTTAACTAAATTTGATTTTAAGTCTCTGCTGCCACACGTGCTAATTCTTTCAAAAACACATTAGTACGTAACTTATTACAAATGATAGCAGCAGCAATACTAAATTATATTCAGAATGTTTTATATAAAATGCATTTATCTTTTATTTTACCACTTTATGCAGGAAACATACTGTACTTAAATACTATATCATATGTTCTTCTGTTACTGCACTGAAGGAGGTCTGGCATTAGTGTGTGTGTTAGGTCTGAAACTGGTCACTTCTTTGTCAGTTTTTTTTCCTTGACATGTTAAGATATTGAGAATCCTTCATTTTTCACATTTAAAAGGAGCAAATTAATTTTTGGGGGGGAAATTATGTGTTAGTCTTACTAAAGAATCCAAAGTAACATGAAGAATACGTGTTGGGATTCACTTTTGTTGGTTATTGTCACAGTCGAAGGTCTGACTGACATTTGCCTAAGTTGTAGCAAGCAAAGGAGGAGGTCTGTTTGTGTCACAAGGACGTGAAAGTGCTGGTGCAGAAAATTATTAACCCAGGCAAGTTATTATATTACTAGAGGCCATTGCAGGTGTCTTTGCTAAAGAAAGACACTATGTATAAAAACACAGAACAGCTCTTTGCAGAACAGAAATCTGATGCCAAGGTTAGATGTGCACAGGGTTGCCAACTTTCTAATCGAACAAAACCGAACACCCTTGTCCTGGCCTGCCCCTGCCTTGCCCCTTCTCCGAGGCCCTGCCCACTCCAACCCCCTCCCACCCTCACTCACTTTCAGCAGGCTGGGGCAAGGGGTTGGAGTGTGGGAGGGGGGGTGAGTGGTGTGAGCTCTGGGGTTCAGGGTGTGGGGAGGGAGGCTACAGGCTGGGGCAGGGGACAGGGCTATGGGACGGGGAGAGGGCCAGGGATAAGGGGTTTGGAGTGTAAGAAGGGGCCCTGGGCTCAGGCCGAGGGGTTTGCAGTGCGGGAGGGGGATCAGGGCTGGTGTAGGGGATTGGGGTATGGGAGGGGTGCAGACTCTGGCTGGGGATTCAGGCTCTGGTGTGGGGCCAGGGATGAGGGGTTTGGGGTGTGGGAGGGGGTTCTGACTTAAGGCAGGGGGTTGGGTGCAGGAGGGGGTTCGGGGTGTGGGCTTTGGCTGGGTGGTGCTTACCTCAGGCGGTGCCTGGAAGCGGCTACATGTCTGGTTTGTAGGCAGAGGAGCTAGGGAGCTCTGCAGCTTCCTTTGGCTGCGGTTGATGGCCAATGGGAACTGCGGAACCGGCGCTCAGGGTGGAGGCTGCGCGTGGAGCCCCTTGGCCAGTGCCTAGGAACCAGACATGTAGCCACTTCCAGGAGCTGCAGAGACGTTCCGGCCTCTTCCAGGAGCCGTGAGGAGCCAGGCAGGCAGGGAGCCTGCCTTAGCCGCGCTACATTGCTGACCAGACTTTTAGCAGCCTGGTCAGTGGTGCTGACCAGAGCCGCCAGGGTCCCTTTTTGGCCAGGTTTTCTGGTCGACAACCGGATGCCTGGCAACCCTATCGTGCACACAATTCAAAGTATTTCTTAATAAGAATAATAACTAAGTTCACTTGGGTGGAATTTTCAAAATGTCATAACTACAGAGGAGAGTAC